CCATCACCTATACCGGCTCACATAACCAAAGGTAAGCGCCGAATCTCTTCTCCCCTCTTCGGACCCGTCCGATTGCGTGTCGACCTTCATGTTTTGCTAATTTCCCAGCAATCCAAATTTACTAATTATCCTGTTTTTGTGCTCTTTATTCCCCTTATTATGCTTTACACTTCCTAAATACAAATAAAACACACATACAAACATACACGCTACGCCGCCACCGCCGCCACCGCCGCCCTCCGCATGCTTTCAATGTGTCAATTGTCTTACAATAAATAAAAACTCACTCAAAAACCCCAAATGCTGCGAGCAGAGCTTTCAGCACATCATGCGCAACAGCAGCAAATACAGCAGCTGCAGCAACAGCAACAGCAACAACAATCGCAGCTGCCACAACACCAGCTGCAGTCACCATCGCCACCGACGTACGTCAATATGTCGGAGCTGGCCAACATGGCTGCGTTGAAAATCACTAACCAGCAGCAACAACAACAACAGCAGCAGCAGCAGCAGCGGCCCGTTAGTGCATTGCAACAACAACACTCCATCGATTCGATTTCCTCGCAGTATTCCAACGATTCGCTTGCATCGGGTCACCACCAGTCACAACAACAACTCCAGCAGCAGCAGCAGCAGCAGCAGCAGCATCAAGGTGCCACTGCTTGTGTCAGCAATAACAACGCCAGCAAGGCACGTTCACATTCCGTTTCCTCTTCGTCTGCGTCTGCGTCCTCGAACACACCCTCTTTGCACTCGCATCCCTCCATAGAGTCCGGCACGGTAACCACGCCACTTGTTGGCCAGACACCGACACCCTCGAGCGGCAGCTCAACACCACAAAACCACTACTCGCCGCTGCTGACAAATTCGCCATCGTCGACAGCGGCCGGCACACCAAGTGGCGGTAGCGTGACGAGCGGAATGATGAGCGGCTTTGTGTATAACGTCAACTCGCCGACACCCCCGCAAAGTGGCACAGCATCAGTCGACAGCGATGTCTTAAAGATCACCGAAACTGATGGCGGTCAAGCGGCAACCGCCGCCAACGTCGCACCACCCACTAACGAAACCAATCCTCAGCAACAACAACAGCCAAACAGTAACAACATAAACACCACTTCTATAAAATATACTACAACAACCAACAACTCCCAAACCACACCCACCGAAACGCCCGATGAAGAGCATACGAATTCCACCAATCTAACTTCTGCCGCGATCGATACAGAATCACCAACTATTGTCGAGAATGACGAACGTTCACGCGCCTCGGTGCTGCAGAAGGCATCCATGTTCGAAAAACAGGCCGCCGCCGCCGCAGCTGCAGCATCCACGACGGCAGTCACAACCGGTCGTTCCAGCAGCGATGCTATTTACGGCACACGACGCAACCAAGAGGACGTATACCGCTCAACAAATACCGGTAATCTTTACCAGCAGCCAGTGCAACAGCAGCAGCAGCAGCAGCATTTGGAGCAACCAGATGTGGGTGAGTATCTAGGCATGGCGTGAGGCGGCTTTCCAAGCTCCTGCGCCAAGTAGGCGCCAAAAACAATATTCGTATAAAAAGAAACTATTATTATTCACTGTACACAACGTACACAACCTCCAGTGTTATTGGGCCTTCCAAGCAACTCGCAACACATGCAACCAATTTATGTCTATAAAACTTTAAACGTGTCTCTTTAGCAAATTTCTACACCAATAAGAATTCCAAGCCCCACAACTATTAACTATGTATTTAAGCCCCCTCCCCATTTTGTCACAACTGTTATTTGCTCAGCACGTTAAGTGGCGCATTCAAGAGTTATCCCAAAGATCTATTATTTAGTCAGCGTTTTACATATAATATGAATGAAAGAAGTCTGTGGTAAAGTAAGAGGTGTTTAATTGTAATAAAAATGATTTAAAAACGCATATAAAAGGAAGGGCTGATTCCTAGAAATTTGCACAGTTTCATTGTGGGTAGATCCAGACTTTAAAAAGTGTACATACATACATACATTTGAATATGTAAATATCGTAATCATCGTTGCAAATGCTTTTTAACCGACTTCCAAAAAAGGAGGAGGTTATCAGTTCGTCGGAATATTTTTTTTTTTTTTTTTTTTTTTACGTATGTTACCGCATAACTTTGCACCACATCAACCGATAATAATTCAATAGTTCTTTTTGCAACGGAAAGGTAGTGTCTCAGAGGTGGTCCCATACTAATTTGGTTTAGATCCGATCATTGGATCATGAAATATATAGATATATATATATTTAAGTCGGTTTTTTTTTGCTAAAAATTACTTGTTAAATAAATCTTTACTATGCCTGCAGAAGAACAATCACAGTGACTGACGATATCTTATGAATAAGAAAGAGCTGTGCCATCTGTTATGTTTTTAGAAGTAAATATGTTTTTGTTAATTGATCCGGTCTGGTGGGATAACTGCCGTTTAAGTACATTTCTCAACTTTTGGCACACGAAATCAAAAACAGTCACAACTCATTTTTCAAAATGTATTTTTTTTTTCAATGAAACAGTTCACAGACCATATCTGCGTTCGTAGGGAACGGTAGCTTATTACGGGAAGCTGACTTTAGTATAATGCGGCATTCCTTTTATTCTTTAAACCACAAAGAATTTTATGGTGAGACTTAATAAGAATATTGACTTGCCAAAAGTTCTTCAACGTCTCGGGGCCAGTGAGTCATTCGCAATTGTATGTTGCGAATGCCAAATTATACGAAAGCCAGCCTTTTGACATTAGCTACTATTCCATACGAACACAGATAAACATACATATCGTCGTTTAAAAGTACAAAACCGCATATCGTCATTCTGCAAAATCGCGTATAACTTGACATTTGTTGCCAAAAATTGCATTTGCTCACACAAGCTCCTAGGCTCAATCCATTCCTATCCATTCGTTATTCGCTTTATAAAAGAGAGAACAATTTTGAAATATGAGTGTTTTTACTCTCTAGAAAATAATTTATGCAACCTCATCATGGTACAATAATTACAGGTATTGTCTTCCCAGAGAGCGCATATTCCGAAATGCCTTATTTGAAAAATATAATTGTTGTGCCTAGACTAAAAGGTTTACTGCTAGGGAAAAGGGATATTTCAATGCCCCATATACCATGTATGGACAAAAAAAAAAAAAAAACATTTGCTTAGTAAATAAATTCAAAATTTGTATGGCTCACTTCAAGGCGAATTTATATAAGGTGGTGTTACTAGCTCAGCTGATTTTGTGTATGTGTTTCGCCGCACGGCTTCTCATATCAAATTGAAAAATTTTGTTTGAATTTCTACACACACTCTTACAGATTTTGACAGTTTATGCCGCCAAAGCAAAAACGAAATACATGTAAATTTTTGTTTTTGTACTCCTGCTATCACCTTATATTAATTCGCCTTGGCTCACTTCATTTCAAACGTTTTTTCTTTTGCTTTGAAAAATATATAATAATTAAATTGAGGGAAAACAAAAAGCAAAGCCAAATAAAAGTAAAAGAATCAACATTGAACTGCGTCAAAAGGAAAATAAGGGAGCACAATACCTGTACCTATTGTACCATGAACCTCACATATGTATGTACGCGGTTTTTTCATTCTCTTTATACGCGGTTTTGTACTTTAAACAACGATATATAACATCCGCCGAAATTTCTTCTTTATCGCCATCTGCTTTAACTTGGAAAAATACTATTAAAAATCTTTCTGGTTGTGCTGAGAAGGTAAATACAAAAACAAAATATTTTCGCTTCTGGCTAAGTTAACGTGTTGGATAATCATTGAGACGATTTCTTACTTAAGTTAAGTCTAGACTAAGTGAGCTTTTAGGCTGCCATATGTACATACATATACCTAATAAGTAGGAATAAATAGCTGCAACAAATTTTTTATACTTTACCAAGCAAGTGTAAGAAAAGTCCTCAATCCCATAGTCTAATTAGTCTAAAATGACGTGTACAAGAAATGGCTAAGAAATTTTCTTGAGTCAAATTTCCTTCCTTCAGGCAATACGCAGTTCTTAAGAAATTCGCTACGCTTTCTACTACGGTTTTCTAAAGTTTTTTTGTGAAAAAAAGAGCACAAGGCAACCCATGCTTTCAACAGAAATATATGGCCGTTCCATTATTTCTTGAGGAAAGAGCGAGGCAATAGGCTGGTGAAGTTTGCCAGTTGTCAAAATTCCTTGGGCACACGCACACGAAATAATGACAATTTTTTCTTGACCGTTTTATTGAGAGCTGCATACCAGCCTTTAAGCGCTATGCGTTGAGTAACCGCTTCACGCGAAGCTCATTTAACAGATTCCTCGTGTGACAACTCTCGTGCAATGCCAAGTAATTTGCCTCTCTAAAAGTCAAAGTTGAGACATACGACTTTTTGTAATGATGACTACGATGTATGTACATATGAATGTAATT